AAAATGTTCCCACACTGAGGAAACCTTTCCTTTGAGGCTGCGCTATAGGTGACGCTGTTCCGTAAAAGATCAATAATTCGTTTGGCAAATGCTTTTGACAGATTCGCTTCCTTCTAAACACAGATTGGCGCTTTAATGTCATTTCGAAACAGTTCCTGTATCGGTCACGTGACTTGCTGAAACCAATACGAGCACCGACACGTTTTGGTCTATGGGCTTGACGCATGCGCCGACGCATCGGTGTTGCCGGACCCATCACTAGTGAGGATGTATGTCATGCCTCACTGATATGGCTGGCAGCTTCTCTTTAGATTAACCAATAGCTAAAACCCAATGTCTTTCCTCTTCCTGCGTTTCAAACCTCAGATTTGGATCCTGGCATCGTCAGTCTGCTTCACCTTCACCGTCACCATCGGCACGTTTCCCGCGATCACTGCCGACACGCGATCCACGCTGGCCGAGGGAGGAACCTGGGGTCAGTCCTCCATGTTGGCTGCATGACCTCTACATGACCTTCTGGCGTCAGTCCTCCATGTTGGCTGCATGAGGTCTGCCTGCCGCCTCTGATGACGCTCCGTGTTTTCTCCGTGTTTCCGGTGCAGAGCGCTACTTCGTCCCCGTCAGCTGCTTCCTGCTGTTCAACCTGAGCGACTGGACTGGGCGGAGCCTGACCGCCGTCTGCATGTGGGTGAGTTTCTGATTGGCCGACGATCTCCGGTCGGCGAGCGGCCGCCGGTCGGATCTGACTAGGCGTTTGTGCAGCCAGGTAAAGACAGCCCGGTGCTGCCGGCGGCCATCTTGGCTCGCGTTGTCTTCGTACCTCTCTTCATGCTGTGCAACGTTCAGCCCCGCCTCCATCTGCCCGTCTTCTTCCATCACGACGGCTTCTTCATCGCCTTCATGATCCTCTTCGCCTTCAGCAACGGCTACCTGGCCAGCCTCTGCATGTGCTACGGACCGAAGTAAGAAAGCAGCAAAACACAAGCTAGCCGACGCAGGCGCTCCGTCTCCATGACAACAGACTGCATTTAATTCTGGGTAAATTCTGTCGTTCTGCAGGAACGTTCTTCCTCACGAAGCAGAAACCGCTGGAGCCATCATGGCGTTCTTCCTGGCTCTGGGATTGGCTGCCGGAGCTGCTGTCTCCTTCCTGTTCAGAGTACTGGTCTGACTGGGACCCTGTACTGGTCTGACTGGGACCCTGTACTGGTCTGACTGGGACCCCTGCATTTTAACATCTAAAGAGCAGCACATATTTAAATTACTTAAGTTTAGTAAATGTTTTAAATGGAAATAAAATGTAGAAAATCAGATTAAAAACTAAAAATAAATAAAATCCATGAACCTGACAGGACGTTTGGACAAGAGGGGCTGAAAGAATCAGGAGTTGAGACGGTTCTAGTTTATAAAGAATTTAATTTCATGTCAGGTTTTATAAAATCGGTACTTTAACGGGAACCCAGATCGGTTCTTTATCTCGCCAACCAGACTAGAAATCGGAGCATGAATTCCTCGTCCAACGACTCAACAGCTGAAATGGGAAGTCTGAGCCAAGGTCGACCCAAGGTCGATCAGGCCGAGTGTCAAAAAGCCAGTTCATCTTCTGACTATATAAACATATAAAACCAGAAAATTATAGCCAGTAAATACAATGAAACTGTATCAAATACAAGGAATCATGTTTCCATCTGAAAAACCGAAGGAAATGTTTTGACAATCAGAAGTAGACGGACTCCATAAATAAGGTGAAGGTCAGCGATCAGGATCGATCCGATCAGCATTCAGTCCTGAAGGTTCGGCTCAAATGTTGGGAAAACATCAGAAATAAGACATTGAACCGAAACTGAAAGCACAAAACTGGTTTCATTCATCCACATATGAACACATGAATCTGAACCTTGGAGCAGAAATCATTTAGAGATCTGAAGAAACAGAGTTTGATCCTGGTGGATTTGATCCAGCTGGTGGATCAAACTGGTTTGATGGTGGATATTTTCCAGCTCGACCCAATCTGAAATATTTCTTCCTTAAAATATTTGTTTGTTTTAAACTCGGTGAGTTTTTTCTCCTCTAGATTTTCATCTCTTCTCTCTGACTTGTCGGGTTTCTGAGACCTTCAGAGTAAAATACTGATCTTTGATGCTTTTATTGTGAAGGCTGTAGCAGGAAGACGGTCTGGGAGACGTTTCAGGATAAAAATAGCTGCGCCATGCTGCTGCTCTGTGTTCTGATATTCTGCGGCTTTCGCTTCGTCATGTCTGAAGAGAAACTGATTTCAGTCGACTTTGAGATTTTTGGGAATGTGCAGGGTGAGTCACATGACCTGTGATGTCATATATGACAAGTTTGTGCAGCTTTGTGACTTTGTGCTGTCCATCCAGGTGTTTGCTTCAGGATGGTGAGTTTCTCCATCATGACGACGTTTCACCTTTTTAATTCAGATCTGAAAACATCAGAACTGGAAAAAATACATAACAAAATACAATCAATGAAATTGATCAGATGATGTGGAGTTGCTACAAACGCCCAAGAACAGGATGAGTTCCTGAGACGGACTTCGACCCAGTCTTACCTAAAGGTTAAAGGTCAAATAAAAAGCTGCAGTCCAACCTCAGGTCACATTCATGGTTTTTACAATCTGACTCAGTGATTACGGCCAAAACCAGAACCTGGGCTTGGTTCTGTTCTGGTGTCACCATGGTTCTGTTCACTCCAGCAGGAGCAGAAACTCAATGCTTTAGGAAATGTTCTGACCCGGTGAGCTCCGAGCATCGGGACTCTGCGTTGCCATGGCTTCCAGAGTCTTACTGACTGTTTGACGTCGGGCAGAAGACGCAAAAGCCAAAAAAAAACAAAAAAAAAAACGGGTTGGGTCAGAACCTCCGCTGCCCTGCACATCATGGAGAGTTTCAACCAAAACTTCAACCAGAAGTTTATATACAACGGTGTTCCTCACCGCCTGAAGTTAAATCAGACCAAACTCCCCAGTCAGAATCAAATTATTTCTATTTGCTCAACGAGAGAAAATAATTTTATTTTAACGTCTTCAAGATCAGAAGTTTGAATCACATCAGAACCTGGTGGACGCCGTCCTTCAGGCCACACACCGTTAAAGAGCTGTTCAGTCAGATGGATTATCCCTCGGTCGGGTCGGGCAGCAGCCTCAGAAGCCTAAGTAGGGACACCCAGAGAGCGTCAAGCCGGTCCTGTGGGTTCCTCTGGGTCCAGAGCCCACCAGGAGGCGCTGTGGAGTGAAACCCGATTACTCTTGGAATATAAAACAGGCTAAAGCTGAAACTAATTCAGATGGTGAGCGACTTTATGCTCACTTCCTGTAGAACATCCCTCAAACACTTTTATTCATGAAGGACAAATTTACCAGCAGGTTCAGAACTTTACAACACAGATTCAGTTTATATGCAAATCTTTATCATAAATAAGAACACGTTACTAATAGGTTGAATTAAATTTATACAGAGAAAAGAATAACTGGAGGAATCCAAGTTCGGAATCAGTCACAAATATGAAGATTGTGTAGAACCCTAAAAGATTCCCAAGGTATGGAAGACAGGTGATCTCTGACATCACTTCCTGCATCTCAGACCATGACATCACTTTTCTAAAGCCTTTCTTTAGCATACACACATCTCTACATGATGGCTCTTCTGTCTTCTCTCTCCTTCATTCGGCCCAGACACTGAGGTAAAAACATCTCAGTGCTGCAGGTGATGGTCAGAGATCATTTATTGATTTATTAATCAAGCTGATCAATAGCGATCAATGTTCCTGCAGGTGACTCAGACCCAGTCAGCTATTGGCTGACAGACCGACTGTGTTCTGGTTCCCAGTACACCGAGGATCAGGGCCGCGCTCTGGGACTGGGCGGCTGGGTGAAGAACACCCGACAGGGGACGGTGATCGGCCAGATCCAGGGACCGGCTCAGCAGGTCAACAGCATGTAAGTCCAGACCGACTAATCAGAGAACGCCTACCTTCACACCAAAGCCAATCAGGTGACTGCAGGGAAATGCTAACTTCAGCTCACAATTATTCATACCTCTGTCCAGGAGTCGTTAACCAAATATTTTTATAGAGTTTAAAACTCAGCAAAGAGTTTAGAAACTCCTCCTTGGGCTGCCACCTTATCGTAGCGGAGGGTTTGAGTGTCCCAATGATCCTAGGAGCTATGCTGTCTGGGGCTTTATGCCCCTGGTAGGGTCACCCAAGGCAGACAGGTCCTAGGTGTGGAACCAGACAAAGCGCAACCCAAAGACCCCTTATGATGAGAACAACATTGGACTTGGTGTTCCCTCGCCCGGACGCGGGTCACTGAGGCGCCCCTCTGGAGCCAGGCCTGGAGGTGGGGCACGATGGCAAGCGCCTGGTGGCCAGGCTTTTACCCACGGAGTACGGCCGGGCTCAGCCCAAAGAGGAAACATGGGTCCCCCCTCCCATGGGCCCACCATCCGTGAGAGGGGCCAAAAGGGGTCGGATGCAGTGTGTTACAGGCGGCAGATGAGGCGGCAACCCTCGAACCCGTTGGTGGACACCTTCGGTGAGGGATGCTGTCAAGCTGAAGAAGGAGTCCTATCGGGCCTTTTTGGCCTGTGGGACTCCAGAAGCAGCTGATGGGTACCAGCGGGCGAAGCGGCAAGCGGCTCGGGTAGTCGCTGAGGCAAAAACTCGGCCGTGGGAGGAGTTTGGAGAGGTCATGGAGAAAGACTTCCGTATGGCTTCAAGGCGATTCTGGTCTACCATCTAGCGTCTCAGGAGGGGGAAGCAGTGCAGCACCAACATTGTTTACGGTGGGGATGGTGTGCTGCTCAACTCAGGACATTGTGGGCCGGTGGACAGAAGACTTTGAAAATCTCCTCAATCACACCAACATGCCTTCTGTTGAGGAAGCTGAGCCTGGGGACTCTGGGTCGGGCTCTCCAACCTCTGGGGACGAGGTCGCCGAGGTGGTTAAGAAGCTCCTCGGTGGCAGGGCCCTGGAGGTGGATGAGATCCGCCTGGAGTTTCTTAAGGCTCTGGATATTGTAGGGTTGCGTTGGCTCGCGCGACTCTGCAATATCGCATGGATATCGGGGGCAGCTCCCCTGGATTGGCAGACCGGGGTGGTGGTCCCCCTGTTTAAAAAGGGGGACCGGAGGGTGTGCTCCAATTACAGGGGGGTCACACTCTCAAGCCTCCCTGGTGAGGTCTGTTCAGGGTCCTGGAGAGGAGGGTCCGTCGGATAGTCGAACCTCGAATTCAGGAAGAGCAGTGTGGTTCTAGTTCTGGAACACTGGACCAGGTCTACACTCAGCAGGGTCCTGGAGGGTTCTGGGAGTTCGCCCAACTGGTCTACATGTGTTTTGTGGACTTGGAGAAGGCGTTCAACCGTGTCCTTTGGGGGGTTCTCTGGGAGTATGGGGTACCGGGCCCTTTGATACAGGCTGTCAGGTCCCTGTGTGGCCGGTGTCAGTCTGGTCCGCATTGCCGGCAGTAAGTCGGGCTCGTTTCCGGTGACAGTTGGACTCCACCAAGGCTGCCCTTTGTCACCGATTCTGTTCGTTACTTTCATGGACAGAAACTCTAGAACAGCCAAGGTGTTGAGGGGATCCGTTTCGTGGCCTTAGGATCGTATCTCTGCTTTTTGCGGATGATGTGGTCCTGTTGGCTTCATCAGAACGTGATCTGCAGCTCTCATTGGAGCGGTTCGCGGCTGAGTGTGAAGCGGCCGGGATGAGGCTCAGTGCCTCCAAATCCGAGGCCATGGTCTTGAGCCGGGAAAGGGTAGAGTGCCTTCTCTGGGTCGGAGGGGGGAACCTGCCCCAAGTGGAGGAGTTTAAGTATCTGGGGATCTTGTTCACGAATGAGGGAAGAAGGGAGCGGGAGATCGACAGGCGGATTGGGGCAGCGTCTGCCGTGAAGCGGGCGCTGTACCGGTCCGTCGTGGTGAAGAGAGAGCTGAGTCAAAAGGCGAAGCTCTCGATTTACCGGTTGATCTACGTTCCCACCCTCATCTATGGTCATGAGCTTTGGGTCATGACCGAAAGAACGAGATCATGGATACAAGCGGCCGAAATGGGTTTCCTCTGCAGGGTGGCTGGGCTCTCCTTTAGAGAGAGAAGCTCTGTCATCCAGGAGGGACTCAGAGTAGAGCCACTGCTCCTCCACGTCGAGAGGAGCCAGTTGAGGCTCGGGCATCTGGTCAGGATGCCTCCTGGACGCCTCCCTGGTGAGGAGTTCATGTCCCACCGGGAGGAGGGGAGACCCAGGACACGCTGGAGGGACGATGTCTCTCTGCTGGCCTGGGAACGCCTTGGGGTTCCTGGAGGACGACCCGACCCAGGATAAGAGGAAGAAACCTGACCACTTGGTGCAGACAGTTTCAACTTTATGGACAGAAAACATCACAAAAGTCACTAAAATCAAGTAGTAGAAAAATGGAGTATAACCTCTGGTCTGCACACTGAACTCAATGCATTTTGTCATTTTAAAAATTGACAGGTAAATTTCAATTACAATGGGATATTTCAGTCAAAATGACAATGAAAAAGTCTAGCGCAACTTCTGCCCTTGTTAGACTTTAAATTAGTTGAATTCAGCCAAGAATTTATCAACCATGTTTAACATCAAAAGTCCTTTAACTTTCAAGCCTCTGGGTCCAGATGGGTCAGAACAGTACGTGTCATTTGGAGCCAGAGTTTGATGAAGCGCCTCCCCCCTGAGATGTTCAGGAACAGACGGGTTCTAACCTCTGAATATCTGCATCCTGCAGACGGATGAAGCAGCCAGACAGTTATAGGGCGCTGCTTTGCTGAAGGACCATCTAATTACAATCACCCTGCAAACTGTCTTGGAAAATGTGACGAGAATCATCCATGTGGACCAACACCATTCATCCTGTAAAGTGCATAAAATGTGTAATATCATGTATGCAGACTCTGGGACAGATGACAGAGCTGCCATGTTATCTTTCGTCATGACAGAGTGACAAAGCTACTGATTTTCTTCATTAAATTTGATAGTTTAATCTCAAAATGTAATTCAGGAAGAACCCAAAGCCTCACTGGATGCTACTGACCACAAGCCAAGAATTAAAGAGGAAAACAATTATTTATATCAGGAGCTAAAGCAATTAATACAAATTGCTTATGCAAACAAATCTGCATAAAGAAAAAAGTTTAAAAATGAGAGTGCATCAGATCCATAATTCAGAGTCCACAGTTCCTACCAACAGGTTTTTCTTCAGAGTAAATCCTGAACCCCACATGAATATGAAATCAAAAAAATCTGACCTCGGTTTTCAAAGCTTTTTATGATGGCCTCTGGTGGCTGGCAGCGCTGAGCTAACAGATTTATAGCTGCAAGCAAAGAGGAGAGTTTGGAAAGTGACTATAAAATTGGCTAAATCAATAAGAGGTTTTACTAACAACTAGTGACCATAAACTCACCACTGACTGTAGAAATGTTTGCCAGTCCAAACGCCTTTCAGTCTGATAGAGAAAGTGAGGAAACAGGAAGTGACACGGCTTGTTGTCACAATATGCGCTACAGGCAGGCAACAACAAAGCTAATGTTGATTTTTGAGAGACTTCGCTACAAATTGAAGAATAAATTAAAAATATATTGTAACCAAATAATCTCCATAGTAAAAAATGGAGGAGAATTGGCCCTTGTTAGCAGGGGCCCCCCGCTGTGGCCCTGGGCGTCCATTAACGGCCCTCAGGGGCAAGAGGGTCAACGTGTGAATGAATGGAGTGAAACTCTGGAGCAAGTAAGACTGTTTCCCATTTTTAAATAGACACAGATTTTCAGAATTTAACTTCAGATTAAAGTTTTTCTGTCTGATATTTCAGCCAAACCTTCAGACGTTTTTCCAGAGCGTTAGTTTCTGAAGCAGTGCAGAGAATAACATTATCTTCCTCTTTGTGTTTTGCAGGAAACTTTGGTTGAAGAACGTCGGCAGCCCGAGTTCTCGGATTGACCGAGCCGTTTTCTCCAATGAGAGAGACATTTCTAAACTGGAGGTCCAGGGCTTCTCCACTCGCTACTGAGCGTGCTCAGACTAATTAACAGCTTCATTAGTAGTTACTAAAACTCTGCAGAGGATGCAAACAAATCTCAAACTAAATGTATTTCAGCTTGATTTGCAAATTGTTGGCAGATAAAACATTTAACCTCAGATCGATGAAACCTGTTCAATGTGTGATTGGACTGATCAGAATTCATGGATAATTACGGCTGCATCTTGTCAGTGGAAATGCTGACTGGTTTCTGTGATGTGCTGCTGTTGTTGTCAGGTTGGTCAGCTGCTCTCATAAGCCTCCACAGCATCAGAACAGCAGGAAGATCCTTGATGCTAGAGCTCATCTACGTTTTAATTTCCTGACCCTGATCGGGTCTGGCTCAGCTTTGACCAGATTAACATGTTCTGGACATTTGACTTTAAGGCAAAGGTTTGATGTTGAAGACTATCGGTGCTGAGCTCCAGAGTCCTCGGTGCAAAACAATCAAATCTTCACGTCTGTAGTTCAATCAAGCTTCTCAACCTGCTGTTATCTGCTGAGCAGAACCTAGAACGACCAGAATCAGCCGTTAGCTAGAGCCTGACAGACGGCTCTTGTGCTGTAGTTTGTTCTCTCCTGGAAAGCTTTTAATAAATTTCTTAATTCTTCTAATACAGACTTGTGTTACTTATTTTTTCAACATTATTTTACCGTCTGGAAGTATGAGAACCGGCTCAAGAACTGAAGCCTGCAGTTCTCCAAAGCTGCCCAAAGTTTGAGACGAGTCTTTGCCCAGATTGCTCTTCCCATCCGTCCCTTCTCTCGTCAATAAGCCTTAAACTCATGACAGCCTGGCTCCTGCTATTGAAAACAGGGAGGCTCACATTTGGAAAGCAAGACGCCACCCATCATCCTCGGCTTCGACTCTTCTCTCTGCGGGCACAAATCTGGCCTTCCATTTGGAAAATTAGTTTAAATTGGATAAACTGGTTCAGGCAGTTGTTAAATTTTTCTGGTTTTCTAGAGTCTAGAAACTCTAGGACGCCGACACAAAACAGGAAGTCAGAACCTCATGTCCACCGGCTGCCATTAGCTTTTAAAGTGACCTCTGTGACCTCTAACTGAGACTGATGAGTCCGATAAGCAGATCGGTCAGAAAAGCTTATTTTAAAAGAAACAGCTGAAGACATTTTGTTCACAAATGTCTTCAGCCGTTTCTAAACGACTCCAGACTCAAATAAAGGTCAAAAACAAAGAATCAGATTCTACAGTCGAGATCCAAAAGTCTGACCCAAAGCACCGCGTTCAGGGTCTGCCTCATGGACGCCTGGACCAGCTGAGGCTCCAAACGGACGATGTTTCTTCCTGTTCCTGACCTGAACAGAAAGGTCAAGAACAGAATTTAAAATGAATTTGAATTCATTTTAAATTGAATTCTACAATCAAGCAGTAACCAGTAACTATGTAACAAAATAGGTAATCAGGTCCAGAAACAAACTGGAAACCAGTAGCAAGCTAGCTGATGCAGAAATATGAATCTTCAGGAGGCTCCTGTTCAGCTGAACATCTGGAATCTGATCTGGTTCAGTCATCTTGATAGATCTAGATCATCTAGATCAGGAAGAACTGATGCTAAAATCAGAGCAGTAAGGAGCTACTGGTTTCCTGCTTGCTACTGGTATTCCACTGGTGTCCACATGGGGGCAGTGTTGCACTGACTGATCAGTTAAATTATTTAATGAAGTTATGAAGTTCAGAGAAATTTCTCTTCATGAATAAATTTTAAAACAGGAAGTGATGGAAGCAGAGACAAAACGTCCAAAACATCATGAAGATATTTACATGTCCTCCATCCGACCCGATTTGACCCGACCAGAATCATCCTCTGTCATCAGGTCTGGTTCAGACTTCTGCTCTGAGATCGGTTTGATTCTGATGAGGTTTCTCAACCCCGGAGTCCAGACAAAAGTTCTGATTTTATCTGGCAGTTAACCAGAACCAGCATCTGGGTCAGAACCGGAGGTTCAGAAGATGTGACGTCGGGTTTCATCCCACCAACTTTCTGACACCTAACGAGTTCTGAACAGGCCCAGTGGTTCTGGTGTTTTTATCTGGCAGACCCTGAGCGGCCCGTCCTGACTGGATGGCTAGGTGGTGTTGTCATGGCAACGAGCCCCTGCGCAGCATCCATGCGGCGAAGCGTCGCATCTGTTGGGCGGCGCTGCGGCTCTCCTCCTGTAGGCGCAGGTTGTCCCGTCGCAGGTCGAAGATCTGCTGCTGCAGCGCCGCTTTGTCCTGCTGCTCCTGAACGCATCACAGCAACACCTCAGCCTGATGATGTCATCCTCTCATCTGTATGACATCACCAAGTCATGCTTACCTTCAGCAGGTCCAGCTGAAGCCGCTGAAGGATCTCCTCCAGCTGAGACACTTTACCTGAGAGGGAAGCTGTGATGTCACTGAGGGGGAGAGGACAGTAATGATGACGTCATCAATGACATCACAAAGTGCCTTCAAAGTGGCTCCAGGTGTTATTCCTCACCTGTTCAATGCAGGGCTCCCTGATGTCACTTCCTGAATGTAACGGAGCTGATGGTCAGTGAGAGACGATGGAAACACACCTGCAGCAGTTCACACACACACACACACACACACACACACACACACACACACACACACACACACACGTTGAGGCAGTCTGACCTTCACCTGTTTCTCTTCCCATGTCTAACTCCTCCCCTCATTCTCCTTGTCCCCCAACCCCCGACCCCCTGGCCTCAGCCAATGAGGTGAGGGCTCAAGAAAGCTGCTACTGAAAGTAGTTTTATTGTGAAAGTCCAGCTGCTCACCTTTCTGAAGAGGTGCAGGCCGGCATCTGATGGTCGGTGCGCTGTGGCGGCGCCGCAGGATGTGGGCGGGGCTCTGCAGAGTCCTACCACTGGCAAGGGACAAACTGTCATGTGACCTGCTGCGGGTCAGACGTTTCCATGGAAACAGGGCAGAGACTCCAGCGGCTCTGCAGGTAGACTGAGACAGGAACCAGGTGAAGGGGCAGAGCAACTGACTGGTCATTATGGTTCTGACCAATCACAGCCATGTCTCGTCAGCTTCCTGAACCCTGACCCCTCTGAACTCTGACTTGTCAGAACAGACCAGGCCGACCCAGACCTGAGACAGACCCAGCGGACACCTCAGAACCAAGGCGGGTGTGGCAGAAGTCTGGATTCTGGAAGTGGAGGTTCTGCCCATCACCAGAACCTCGTTATTCGTCTGAAGAGTTTGTGCGTTCTTTGCAAATTTGCTTAAACACCGATTGTTTCCGTCAGTTTCAAGCGGTGAAGCTCCTCCATCTATAAAGATTTTGTGTTCACTATGAAGCGCTTTCGTACAGAGATCGGAGGCAGCTTGGCCCATCGTCTGACATATTTTCCTTCTCCATCTCATACAGTTTGATCCCAACAGAAGCCATTGTGTTTGTGTATCTTTCTCTTGCACATTGGCTAAAAATGTCCACATATTTTCTTTGTGGTGGTCTCGAAGACATCGGCCTACCTTGCATCTTGCCTACCAAGATGGCGCGGATCACTTTCAGTCCAGACTAGTGGGAACTATTGCTTTGTTTCAGACACATGACCCGGATGACGCGCCAAGTTCAGATGAAGGTCCGGAAGGGGAGTTCTCCGGTTCAAATCAGAGCAAAATGGATCACAGCGAGTAGCTAATGCCCTAAATAAGCTGGAACAGCTGAGGCATCTCGGGGAAAGAAAACATGCATATATTTAGGATATGATCCGTATTATCTCAGTATCTTACGGGACGGGTGGCAACCCTATTTAGAACCAAAAGCAGCTTTAGATGACTGACCACTTGTTTCTGCCGGGTGAGTGGCGAGTTGTGCTATTTTAAGTAATTTTATGATAACGATGCTATTGCTAACAACAAACTATGTTATTTTATGAGCTTGAATCTCCTGGTAAATCATTTATTTAGCTTCTGTAAACCCAAATTCATGCTGGAGTTGTACGTTAATGTTGAGTCGCTGCTGGATTCGGGTCCAATGTAGGTCAACGATTCGCTCCGATCTACAGAAATCCCGAGTTCGTGTCTGGACACGAAGCATGTGGGGGAACAGTAACAGCTCACTGTCTGTATGGCTGGTAGGATATATTTAATTTATTTAGCTTTTTTTCTTAGCATTAAAGTCCCACTGAATAAACATTATATTTTCTGTCCGTGACTCGGCACTGAGCTAGCTGCTAACAACATTAGCACTCAGAGGACAATCATGCTAGGGCATAAAAATAATATATCTGACCTTACATATGAACGCTTGGCTTTCTAAGTAACTGTCCAATAAAACAGCTGGAAATACAATTTAAACGATGCGATGGTTTCCTGTCAGAAAGTGGCGCTGCAAACTCTGGCATTGGTAGTTTTTGCACCTCCTGCTTTTAGCTGTAGATTGTTGATTCACGTTTCTCCTCTTTTTCAGTACGTTTTTTTAAAATGAACTCCCTTGTGACCAACTACCTTTGAAACACGAAAATAACTTTTATCTTTCTCTATTAGAACGGGTGGAGCAACTGTACAGGACAGACTTTAGACATTTTGATGCTGGATCAGCAGATTTACTCCATCTGTATTGCGTGACTTCTTCTTGGTTTTTATTGGCGGTGGGCAATAAACTTTCAGTAGCATTACCGCCACTTACTGGTATGGAGTGTGGTTCGTGATGATCTATATACTTTTACTTCATACCTAATCCCTACAATAATTTCTGACTAAACATACACTCACACATACACACCTACTTAAATAATCTTACTTGCCTTTGCGTGACGTCGGTGCAGCCCAGCAATAATCTGCTGAAGAGGCGGGGCTTTACTAAAGCCTGACCAATCAGGTTGCTGCTCATTCGTCTGAGCAAGTAATACTTCCTGCAGGATCTCAGGTCAGAAAGTTTTCACTTGCTCATTTAGTTTGGATCTCATTGTTTTATTACTGACAGAAATCTTTCAGACTCACCTTCTGGCCTCTGATTGGACGATGGCTGGGTCTGCAACAGGAAGTCAGGTCAAGTTTATTAGTCTAGAACATTTGAGCAACAAGGCACTTCAAAGTGTTTTACATCAAATGAACATCACTGAGTCATTAATTGATAAACTATACATTATCAAAATGTTGGTCAATTATTCATATTTCATTAATCAAACTCCAACCAGCTGGATTTTTTGTCAGAAAGGAGCTCAGGGTTTCATCTGTTTTGCAACAGCAGATCTTTAATCCATTCAGTTATTTCTAAACTACCAGCAGTTTAAAGTCTCTCCTCTCAGTGAAGGGCTAGAAAGACAGAAAGTCAAGAAATACAATGTTCAAAAAATAGCAGGGTTGACATCTTATTCTGGGGATGGAGGTCAGATGGAGGTCAGATGGAGGTCAGATGGAGGTCAGAAGGAGGTCAGATGCTAGAAGGTGAACAGGTGTCTCAGGTGATGGCACCAGATGTCACCTGGTTTTTCTCACCTGCCAGTCTCCTCCAGTAACAAACCGCTGTTCAACCAGCTAAGCCCCGCCTCCCACAGACAGGTATCCTGGCTGCAGAGACGCTCTGCATCCCAGCTGGCGTCACCTGGATGGGTCAAAGGTGAATCTGGCTTCACTTTGTCTGCTGA